GCCTAAAGAGGAAGGTGTGGGGCCTAAAGAGGAAGAGGTGGAGCCTAAAGAGGAAGGGGTGGGGCCTAAAGAGGAATGAGTGGGGCCTAAAGAGGAAGGAGGCAGGGGCCTAAAGATGAAGGGGTGGGGCCTAAAGAGGAAGGGGTGGGGCCTAAATAGGAAGGGTTGGGGCCTAAAGAGGAAGGGGTGGGGCCTAAAGAGTAAGGAGCAGAGCCTAATTAGGAGCTCTCACTCTCACCTGGCTTTCTCTCTCTCTCTCTTGCCTTGCTCTCACCTCCGCCATTGCCTCCAATGGACAGCGTGAGCTCGTCGAGGACTTCCAGAGGTTGCGAGCGACGGCCGAGACCATGGGCCTCTTCAGGGCCTCCGCCTCCTTCTTCTCGCTCTACCTGGGCCACATAATTCTCCTCGAGGCGCTGGCCTGGGGCCTCCTGGCCTTCTTCGGTACCGGCTGGGTGCCCACGGTCCTCGTCACCATCATCCTCGCCACGTCGCAGGTCAGCCGCGGGTCTCTGTGTGTGGTGAGTCTGTGGGTCTCTCTGTGTACGTGGTGAGTCTGTAGGTCTCTGTGTGAATCCATAGGTCTCTCTGCGTGTGGCGAGTCTGTGGGTCTCTGTGAGTCTATGGGTGTCCATGTCTTTGTGGTAAGTTTGTGGGTCTCTGTATGATGATGAGAATAGGTTTTTCCCTTTTTTCTGGCAACAAAACAGGTGTTAAGATGTTTTAACACTCCTTCCTTAAAATCTTAACACTTTGATTTAAAGCTTTCGTGACTGCAGGGATTCATATTCTTGGTTCTTTCGGTAAAGTCACGTAGAAGGGAAACAATAAAATAATAAAAATATTATTTTATTTTATTGTTTCCCTTCTACGTGACTTTACCGAAAGAACCAGAAAAAAGGGGAAAACCTACTCTCTTATTTTGATACTGGCAAAGGAGGTCCCATGATCTGTATGATGAGTCTATGTATCTCTGTGTGGTGAGTGTGCCCATCTCTCTCCCTCTCCTCTTCCTGCTCTCTCTTCGTTATCTCCAATCGAGCGACCGTGCTCTCCGCTCTCTCCGTGCGCGCGTCTCCGCTGGCAGGCCCAGGCTGGCTGGCTGCAGCACGACTTCGGGCACCTGTCCGTGTTCCGCTCGTCACGCTGGAACCACCTCCTCCACAAGTTCATCATCGGCCACCTGAAGGGCGCCTCAGGCAGCTGGTGGAACCACCGCCACTTCCAGCACCACGCCAAGCCCAACGTCTTCCGAAAAGACCCCGACGTCAACATGCTGCACGTGTTCGTGCTGGGACGCACGCAACCCGTGGAGGTGATGGGCTGTGGGGGGGTGGGGGGAAGGTAATGGGGGGAGGAGGGGGGGGGCATTGGAAGAAGGGAATGGGTGGGGGCGTGAATATGATGATGGTGGTGATGAAAGTGAATATGATGGTGGTGGTGATAAGAGAACATATGATTTCGATTTAAAGCTTTCGTGACTGCAATGATTCATCTTCTTTGGTTCTTTCGGTAAAGTCACGTAGAATGAGAATAAAATAATAAATGGATAAAATATAATAACACAATAATATTCTCACGACGTTTCGGCCACAACACAAGCGGCCTTCATCAGGTGAGACTGTCTCGTCCCTTCACCTGATGAAGGCCGCTTGTGTTGTGGCCGAAACATCGTGAGAATATTATTGTGTTATTATATTTTATCAATTTATTATTTTATTCTCATTCTACGTGACTTTACTGAAAGAACCAAAGAAGAGAAAATATGATGATGGTGATGACAGTGAATATGATGATGGCAGTGAATGTGATAATGGTGGTGGTGGATGGTGGTGATGGCAGTGGTGGGGGTGATGATGGTGAAAGCGATGATCGAGGTGATAGAAATAGTGGGGGTGGTGGTGGTGATAGGTCGTGATCATAATGTCGGTGGTGACAGTGGTTAGTGCGCTGCGCTATGAACCCAGCGATACAGTGGGGGAGGGGATGGCGGGGATCGTTGTTTTTGTTAGCGGTAAAATAAATGTGGAGTTATGCTCTGTATTCTACCCCTCCCCGCCCCCCCCCCCCCCATATGTATAGTACGGAGTCAAGAAAATGAAAATCCTTCCTTACAATCAACAGCACAAATACTTCTTTCTAAGTGAGTACTTAGTGTTTGTTTGTGTCTTTGTGTTTATTTGTGTTTTTGTGCGTGTGTGGTCTGTGTCTTATGTGTGTGTCTCTTTGTGTGTATGTGTCTTTGTGTGTGTCTGTCTTTGTGTGTCCGTACCGTGTTTGTGTATATCTTTCTTTGTGTGTGTCTGTGTCTGTGTGTGTGGCGGCGACTTACCATCAGCCCCACCAAAACTAAGCACCTGCCTGGGTATTTTGTACCATCGGACAATCCACCCCCAGAATTCCCAATTGGTGATAGGGCAGTTGTGGAAAGAGTGGAGAGTTTCACATACTTGCGTGGTGTGCTCATGAACGGCTCCAGTTTGACAGCAGTGGTCTCACTCCGAATAAGTCGAGTAGCATTATCTTTTCATCGGTTCCGTAACACTGTGTGGAAGCTACCTGGTCTGTCGCTCCACACAAAGCTTCAGGTCTTCTCGGCCACAGTCATACCCTCCATTCTCTATACTAGCTAAACGTGGACCTCCCCTAATGGAACATTTGCGCCGGTTAGAAACATTCAGGCTGGCCTGCCTATGATCCATCCTGGGTTTAACCAGGGGGGATTGTGTGAGGAGCTCACAAATCCTCGATAGATGTGGACACATTCCCATCAGCTTCTGTTTGGGTGGATAGAGGGGGCTAAACGGGGCACAAGAAGGGCTAGAGAAGAAATGGAGTGATATAGAGCTGAGTGGACTTGCCAATGACTGGAACCAGCGGTGTCAAGATCGGCCTCTGTGGAGGAGGCTCGTGAAGGATGCTACTGAGCAGTTTGAGGCAGTGGTCCTCCAGCAACAGCGGAGGGCAGAGGAGCGACGCTCACAACAACGCACGGAGCACGAGGGAGCTAAAACGCAGCGAGTTGGCACGGTGGGAAGCACAGGTGGTGCACCTGCCAGACATCTGAGTCGGTCAACCCATGGCACCTGCTGGATCTGTCCCGTGACCTCCTGTCAGCGATACTTCCACACTTTACGTGGCCTCAAAGGGGCACCTGGCGACGTCACCGCACCTTCCTGTTGAATGGCGGGTAATTGGTGTTGGCGGGCGCCAGTCAGCCGTGCCAATCGCAACTCCGATTAGCACGGTTGGCAACGTACGGTGCACGAAAGAGGTTCGACGTACATACACACATGCTGGCAGAACGGTCCAATAGACATACAGACATACAACAGCAATCTTCTCGACATGTTGTGTCTTTTTCACCTCACTGGGTGGGTGTGCTGCATTGCGTGGGTGGGTGGGTGTTTGGATACTTTACCTCTATCTTTGTCTTTGTTGCATTGGGTGGATGGTGGGGGGGTGGATATTTTACCTTTTTCTGTGTTGCATTGGGTGTATGGGTGGGTGGTGGGTGGCTGAGTGGATATTTGACCTTTGCCTCTGTGTTCCATTGGCTGGGTTGGTGGGTGTTCGGATACTTTACTTTTGTCTTTGTCTGGTGTTCTGCAGTTGGGCCGCCTCTTCTCATCCCCGTGTACTTCCACCTGCAAATCATCAACACGATGATCAAGAGGAGAGACTGGGTGGTGAGTCACACTCGGGATCGCAATGGTCCCGGGCTCGCACACTCAACACTGCGAGTTGCGTGCTCTAACAAGATAAAATTATTGGTGAATTATGTTCACCTGGAAGGCAGCCAATGTGCATCAGGCGGTGGCCTAATGTGGCACATCTTTTCCGATCCACGCATTGTCTCTTTAGATCTCAGAAATCATGGTGCGATCCACAAATCGTCTCTTCAGATCTCAGAAATCACGTGACACGAATCACTTTAATGATTAAAAAATACGTCTTCAAAATATCCAAGCTCGTGTTCGAGCATGGATCAAGCGTGGATCAAGCATGGTATTGTTAAAAATCAGATTAATTTTTATCCTGTTATAAGCGCGTAGCAGCAGCAGCAGTGCCTATGAAGGCCGATAACTGTGGGCACACGAGAGAGAGAGGGGGGTGTGTAGTTGTGGCTCAAGCACCACGACTCACCGGCCCGGCCGCTTTTGTCGGAACGTGACATCAACAACAATGCACACAAACGTGATAGGAGTGAAAAGTATAGAAAAGGTAAACACATCACTTAACAAAAACATATACAAATAAAACTAAACCAGTTTTTTTTTTATCTTAAAAGGTGTAAGCCCTCACCGAGCTATGTAGCCTCTTATTCAGAAGCGACCCTGACGTGGCTTATCACTAAGGATAGCAGCTAAACCGAGTAGTGGCTGATATCATCATCGTCACCACCACCACCGCGTGGAGATTCTATCAAAAGCAGGCCCATGGTTTTTCGAATGGTGTCGCGATCCATCTGACGGACTTCAGGAAGTAGACCAAAGCCTCCTCTTGGCATGGAGGGGCCTCCAGGACGATTGTTCGGGAGGCGAGGGTTTGAAGGGCCGTAATGAAAGGTTCAAACGGGAAAAGGCAGAAAAAACGGGAGTCGAACCTAGAGGCGACGGTTGAGAATCGTTGAGGGAGAAGGACGGAGGATTGGCCGGGGTAAAAACGGTGAGGGAAGGTTCGAGAAGGAGGGCTCGAGAAGGACACAAGGGGAGGGGAACGTTCGAGAGAAGGGACGAGCTTCAACGACCCGGAGGAAGCCGGGCCTAGGGTGGTTTCTGCGTGTCACAACAGTGTAGTGACTGCATCGGAGACACTAAGACTCGGAGGCACTCTGTTTATTAACACGGCCTGACAATTAACACTTTTATAACGCGTCACTAAATGAACTACGGCTCCCAGTCAGGACAGCCGGTAGACTGCCTGACCGGCGACGCCGAGATGGTGAAGACGGAGATGACGTTGAAGACTCCAGCAGCAGCACGACGGGGATCCCGCTCCAAACGACAGCCCCGAGGTCCCCTCCCGGGGGCCCCCCTTATACTGTCAGCGTGGCCTGACTCCGCCCCCGGCCACGCCCCCTTTTCTGGAACCTACTAGCGGGCTCCTGATGTGCCCCTTCCGTGACCCTTCCCATAGATCCCTCTCTGGTCTATCACCTGGCCTGCTGTCATTCAGGAATGCTGCAAGCTGCAGATCCACCTTCCCCGCCAGCAGCCAGCGCTATGCTGCTACGTGACCGATTCTATGTCACTGCAACAGTGAAGAGGCTCCCAGTACACGGTTGCTGTCGGTGTCGTTACATGCGCGTCGCAGGACCTGGCGTGGTCGGTCACCTACTACATCCGCTACTTCCTCACCTACACTCCCTTCTACGGCCTCTTGGGAGCCATGGCCCTCATCTTCGTGGTCAGGTGAGGAACGTCGATCCCACCACCCCCACTCCACCCCAGGAAGACGCGGCCATTTTCCGCTGCCGGGTGGATATCAATGTGGCGGTGGTGGTGATGTCTCGACCACACGCGTGCGTTCTTTAATCCACATGCTCCTCTGTCTCTCTGTGTAATCACCATCACCATGGTCTCTCCACTGCTGGATGGAGATCACCGTGATGGTGGTGATTTCTCCTCTACCCTGCGTGTGTTCCTTAATCCACGTGCTCCTCTCAATGTGATGATGGTGGTGATGTCACTGCTCAGAGTGTGTTCTCTAAGCCACGTGCTTCTGTGCCTGTCTCTCAGTGTAATTATCACCATCACCATTGTCTATCCACTGCTGAATGGCTTTCGCGTTCGTTTTTTTTTTTTACTACTACGGCCGCACGTTGGGCAGTCCGGCGGCCCCTCTCGAAAAACGCCCGTCCCGACTTCTCGTCGTCTCGCGTGCCCACCGTGCGCAGGGTGATCGAGAGCCATTGGTTCGTGTGGGTGACGCAGATGAACCACATCCCTATGGACATCGACCACGAGAAGCACAAGGACTGGACCACGATGCAGGTGCGAGGCCCACGACCGCGCGGGCAGCACAGGGCGGCCCGTCCCGAGCCGGGTGCACTCGGGAGGCCGTCACGTGAAGTGCCGAGGGCTGTCGCTGCTGGCAGGAGGTCACGGGACAGGCCCAGGTGCCGTGGGTTTACTGCTTTGCCAGGCTAGGTGCGGAAGGAGCTTACGGGACAGACCCAGCAGGTGCCATGGGTTGACTGCTGTGCCAGGCTAGGTGCGGAAGGAGCTTACGGGACAGACCCAGGTGCCATGGGTTGACTGCTTTGTCAGGTTAGGTGCGGAAGGAGCTTACGGGACAGACCCAGGTGCCATGGGTTTACTGCTGTGCCAGGGTAGGTGCGGAAGGAGTTCACGGGACAGACCAAGATGGTGCCCATGGGTTCACTGAGACGACTGGCAGATGCACCAGCTGTGCCCTCATGTGCCAGGATAGGTGCAGGAGGTCATGGTACAGACCCAGGTGCCATGGGTTCACTGCTGTGCCAGGCTAGGTGCGGGGTGAGGTCATGGGACAGACCCAGACGCTATGGTTTGACTGCTGTGCCAGGCTAGGTGCAGGATGAGGTCATGGGACAGACCCAGACGCTATGGATTGACTGCTGTGCCAGGCTAGGTGCAGGGTGAGGTCATGAGACAGACCCAGGTGTTATGAGTTGACTGCTGTGCCAGTGCTCCCCACAAGCAAAAAGATCCCCCATATAGCCTTAACAAACTTTTGGGGCAAGTGCTATCAGCGAGCACCTATGAAGGCCGGCACTGTGGCACACGAGGGGTGGGTGGCCAGCAACCACGCCCGGCCGCCTTTGTCTCCCTAATGGAGAAGTTTTTTTACATATCGCACCAGGTAATCACTTGAGGCTGAGTCGACCTAGGGGGAGGCACAGGACCGGCTCAGATAATTCTCACTGGTGATGGCCGTGAGCGGGAATCAAACTGGGGTCGTCGGGTTCGTCGCGCTGTGACAAGAGAAAAGGAATTAATTATAAATTATGTTAATGGTGCAGGGAGCCAATCAGTGTCAAAGGGCGGCCTAATGCGGGAGGGGGGTGGGGAGGGGCTTTTTCGATCCACGAATCATCTCTTTCGATCCAGAAATCACGTGACAGGTATCACTTTTGCCGATTTGAAGAATGTTTATACAAATTTCACAGCTCGATCCGTGCTCGATCCATGCTTGAACACATATAGGAAATGTAATCATTCGAATCCCGTTTAATCGAGCATTGGATCATTAAAAACACGTCGATTCCCGTTCCAGTATTCCTTATATGGGCAAAGCCATGCTCAATTCCTCCATATATGGGCATAAAACAATTAATATAATTCATCATTCATTCTCCACAAGAGGTTTTTATTTTTTTGGTAAGACCACGTAAATATAAATGTGTCATCAAACCGGCCACCGCCCGACACAGCCAATTAGTAAAAGGGTTAGTCACGTAAACAGGACGTGCCAATGAGTTACTGGAAGAGCACTACACCACTTGAGTTGGAGAGTAAATGCACAACATTGACAATCTGAGTACGACGTTTCGTCAATAATTACGACCAGCATTTGGTGGTGGCGGGTTTAACGACATTAATATTTACGCAAACTAACCCCCCCATAAAGCCCTCTATCTTGGATAATATTGGTTGTGAAAGCCTCCTGCTACGTGCTAAATTGATCATTCATCCTGTCGCGGATTCATTTTTAAACCATGTTAGAGCATGGCGTGCTAACACGTACACACACAGACGCGTGGGCTGTCGTGAAAGTCCAGACGCCCTGTAGGTCCGTGATGTTCGTTTGCCATCTGTTTGCAGCTGGAGGCCACGTGCAATGTGGACCAATCGCTCTTCAACGACTGGTTCAGCGGTCACCTCAATTTCCAGATAGAGCACCAGTGAGTGGCCAAACGTCACCACCAGCGACGTCATCATCATCATCATCAACAACACCGTCAACGAAAAATCAGCACCATCAACATCATTGTCAATACCATAAATGTTGTTGTTAACGTCATCATCATCATCAACACCGTCAACGCCAAATCAGCACCATCAGCATCGTCAACACCAGCAACGTCATCATCAACACCATCAACGTCATCGTCAACACAACCAACGTCATCAACACCATCAACGTCATCGTCAACACAACCAACGTCATCGTCAACACCATCAACATTATCGTCAACACAACCAACGTCATCTTCCATACCATCAACGTCATCATCCTCATCAACACAATCAACGACACATCAGCACCATCAACGACACATCAGCATCATTAACACCATCAACGTCATCATCACCACCCACTCAGTCACCATTAATGTCTGTGGTTGCTGTAATTGATGATGTTGATATTGGTGTTGATTATGTTTATATTGATGTTGTGTTGATGTGGTTGATGTTGGTGTTATTGATAATGTTGTTGACAATAATGGTATTGAAGATGTTGATGTTAGTGTTTGTATGGTTAACGTTGGTGTTGGTGATGTTGCTGTTGATATTAATGTTGATGATGTTGATGTTGTTGGTGTTGTTGATGATAATGTTGATATTGATGTTGATGATGTTGCTAATGTTGTTGATTTTGTTGATGTTAGTGTGGTTGATGTTGGTGTTGAAAAGGTTGATGATGTTAATGATGTTGATATTAATGTTGTTGATGTTGTTGTTAGTGTTGTTGATGGTAATGATTTTGATATTGATGATGTTGTTAATGTTGTTGATGTTAGTGTTGTTGATGTTAGTGTTGATAATTTTTACGATGTTGATGATTTTGATCATGATGATGTTGATATTAATGTTATTGATGATGTTGTTAGTGTTGTTGACGATGTTGATGATGTTGATCATGATGATGTTGTTGATGTTGTTGACGATGTTGATGTTGATCATGATGATGTTGATATTAATGTTATTGATGATGTTAGTGTTGTTGACGATGTTGATGATGTTGATCATGATGATGTTGATGTTGATATTAATGTTATTGATGATGTTGTTAGTGTTGTTGACGATGTTGACGATGTTGATCATGATGATGTTGATATTAATGTTATTGATGATGTTGTTAGTGTTGTTGACAATGTTGACGATGTTGATCATGATGATGTTGTTGATGTTGTTGACGTTTCCAGCCTCTTCCCCACGATGCCACGTCACAACTACCACAAGGTGTCTCCGCTCGTCAAGTCGCTCTGCAGCAAGCACGGCCTGGACTACCAGAGCAAGACGCTCATCACCGCGTGTGTCGACGTCGTACGGTGAGACGCGGGGGGACACGGGGGAGACACGGGGACACGGAGGAGACACGGGGACATGGGGGAGACACGGGGACACGGAGGAGACACGGGGACATGGGGGAGACACGGGGACACGGGGGAGACACGGGGACAAGTGAGAGACACGAGGATACGGAGGAGACACGGGGACACGGGGGAGACACGGGGACACGGGGGAGACACGGGGACATGGGGGAGACACGGGGACACGGAGGAGACACGGGGACATGGGGGAGACACGGGGGAGACACGGGGACAAGTGAGAGACACGAGGACACGGAGGAGACACGGGGACACGGGGGAGACACGGGGACACGGGGGAGACACGGGGACATGGGGGAGACACGGGGACACGGAGGAGACACGGGGACATGGGGGAGACACGGGTACATGGGGGAGACACGGGGGAGACACGGCGACATGGGGGAGACACGGGGACACGGAGGAGACACGGGGACATGAGGGAGACACGGGTACATGGGGGAGACACGCGGGAGACACGGCGACATGGGGGAGACACGGGGACACGGAGGAGACACGGAGGAGACACGGGAACATGGAGGAGACGCGGGGACATGGGGGAGACATTTGGAGATCTGGGGGAGACAAATGGAGACATGGGGAAACTCGGGGACACGGCGGAGACATGGGGGAGACATGGGGGAGACATATGGAGACACGGGGAAACTCGGGGGCACGGTGAAGACACGAGGACATGGGTGGGGGGGGGGACACCGTGGCTGTAGTGCTGCAGATGAGAGACATCTTGCCAAACCCCGTGGTCTGTCTGCTTGGTTGTTGTTGTGGTTGTTGTTGTTGGTTGGTGGTTGGTGGTGACGTTTTGTGTTTCTCTCTCCTCCCCATCCCCCCAACGCCAGCTCGCTGAGGGCGTCCGGACAGCTGTGGCTGGACGCTTACCTGCACAAGTGAGGTGGTTGGATGGTCGTGGGAGACAACCACCATCATCATCCACTACCATTCACAACCACCACCACAACCACCACCAACCATCACCAACCAACCATCACCAACCAACACCATCCACCACCACTGTTCATCCGCGGAGCACTACACTACACACACACACCTCTGGATCTAATATTGAAGCCCAGACGGCCTCCTCACTCGCCCCACACTTCCACACAGCACACGCAGCACAGTACGCATCACACACGACGCACTGTACACCACACCGTGCACAGCACAGATACAGTGCGCACGCAGTACACACATAGTACACACGCACACAGCGCACACACAGACACATCACACGCAGACACTCCACGCATCCACACTCGTACCAAATCAGCGCACACACCACGCACACACACACACTCACCTCCGATTGGCATAGTTGCCTAGGTATGGTGCGAAAAAAGATCCCCGGCGTAGCCTTTAACAGACTGTTGCGGGGGCAGGAGGGCAAGTGCTGTTAGCGAGCACCACGAGGTGGTGGGTGGCCAGCACCATGCCCGGCGGCCTTCGTCACCCCGAGTGGCGATGTTCTCACACGGCGGCAACCAGGGACCCGTTTTAGGTCGGAGGCGCAGGACCAGTTCAGATATAATCGTCGTCACGAGTGTTGGTAGTGGCTGTGAGAGCGGGAATCGAACCCGGGTCCTCCAGGTTCGCCAGCGTAGCGCGCTGCGCACGCTGCTGCACTGAAACCACGCCCACACTGCAGCCACCTGACCGCCACGTCACAACACACACGCACACGCGCGCAACCACGTGACACTCCCGCTACTTTCGCTCCTCCACCGTTCATCGGTCGCAAGGAAATTCGCGTGGGGAACTTAGTGATTTTTTTGGGGGGCACAAAAAAGCGTCTAGGACTTTTAACGCTCCGATAGCGTGGCACGCAGCAGTCGCCGCACTGAGCAATCCCCTCCGCCTTGCTAACAGTCGGGGAAAACCCTCGATATAGCCCCCCCCCCCCCCCCTGGGGCGTTACTCGTGGTTGCCTCGTGGCTTCAAATGAACGTTGCCGATCATTCCAAACGTCTTCTCATTTGCAGCATCGCATTGTTCATTCGGCCTATCGAGACGGCCGCGGTGATATCGGCCGACCGTGTCGCCGCGTTGAGTCATTGACCAATCGGAGGGGCAGTGTTTGATTGGCCAATCGGGACGGCCGCGGTGACAACTGTTGATCGGGTCGCTGTGTTAAATCGTCGAGCAGTCGGAAGACAGTGTTTGATCGGCCAATCGAGATGGTCATGGTGATGAATGTCAGTCGGGTCGCTGTGTTAAATCGTCGACCAATCGGAAGACGGTGTTGAATCGACAAATCGGGACGGCCGTGGTGATATTGGCCCATCGGGTCACTGTGTTAAATCTTGGACCAATCGGAAGACGGTGTTTACTCGGCTACTCTGCTGAGATGTGATGCCGTGAAATTGACGGCCGTGTTCAACTATCCAATCACACGGCAGCGTGCCACTGGCCAATCAGAAGACGACAGTGTTGAATTGGCCAATTTTGTATGGCCCTTGGCGATATCTTTGGCCAGTGGGTTCACTGCGTGGTCGGCCCGTGGCGCATTTAATCGAGCAATCGGGGCGACGGGCTGCATTTTTAATTGTTCAAAATATCGTGACAGCGATGTGGACAGGAGCCAATCGGAGCAAAGCATTTGAATTGGGTCATGCTCACGCCAATCAGGATGGGCCAATCAGACTGTAGCATTTTGCGCGCGTTCACTCTCGATGGTTTGGTAGTGTTGACATTGGGCCCACTGTAGTTGAAGGTTAGGTTGGGGCCTACGTATTAAATATGGCCAGAATCGTCGTGCAATTGGCCAGCCTATTCATCTCTCTCTATTCATATCTCCCCCCCCCCCCCACCTCTATATGGTGCTTGGTAAGCTGAGTGTGTTGATGGGTGGGGTGCCCTGATGTGGTGGCTCTGGCTGGGCCAGTTATTCCACTCTCTCACACACGCACACAGAGACCCAAACCAGTTCGACACTGACTGCTTCCAGGGAGTTGTCGATATAATTTCCCTAAAACCCCCACGAAGCCCTGCTGGCTTCTCGCCACGCGCCCTGGTTATTTGCCTGCTGTGCCCTTCCAAACGCACCGCACCTGCCTGATGATTGTTCAACATGTCCCACGCGATAAGAGAGAAGGATGGCCGATTGGAGTTCACGACGAAGAGCGCGTATGTGTGTGTTTATCTGGGGGCCTTCGTAGGTGCTAATCACTAACAGCTCTTGCCCCAATAGTCTCTTAAAAGCTACGGCGGGGAGGGGGGGGTGGTGGATCTTTGAATTTGTGGGGAGTGGCGGTGCAGTGATTAGCGTGCTGCGCTGAGCTACGGCCACCACGATAACCTGACCTGGTTCTGGGTCCTCCCCTATATTAACTCGGCCTCAAAGGTGCGGTGTATGTCTATAGAACATCAGCACTGGGGCGATAAAGGTGGACAGGCGTGGTGGTGGCAACTTACCCCCCCTCGTGTGCTGTGCAAGCCTTTGTAAGTGCTGCTTGCTAACAGTGAGTATGAGGGTTTGTGAGTGGGTGAGTTTGCGAGTGAGAGTGTGTGAGCGGGGTGAGTGAGTCTGTGAGTTTGTAAGTGAGTGTGAGAGTGTGAGCAGGTGAGTGAGTGGGGCGAGTGAGTGGGCGAGTGTGTGAGTGAGTGTGTAAGTGAGTCAGTGTGAGAGTGAGTGAGTATGAGTGAGTGTGTCTGTGAGTTGGCACAGTGGTGGGCACAGGTGGTGCACCTGCAGGTCATCTCAATCAGTACAACCCATGACACCTGCAGGGTCTGTTCCTGTGACCACCTCCTCCTGCATCTAGCCTGGCACAGCAGTCATCCCACGGCACCTGCTGGTTCTGTCCCGTGACATAATTCCAGCGGCCAGAACCACGTAGTGCACCTAGCCTGGTACAAGCCCCCGTTGAGATGTTACCACGGGGGCTGCTGCTGTTTGTTTTTGTTTACCAATCATCGGGCTCGTGCGGTGTGTGCATTTACGACCGGTGAGGGCGATCCATCCGGTGACGGCAATGTTCGGTGAATGTTAGGAGAACGTTAGGGCAATGTTCGGGGAACGTTAGGGCAACGTTCGGGTGGACATTAGGGCAACGTTAGGGGGGGGGGGACGTTCGGAAATCCGCCTCGACGTCGCTGTCACAGCGAGCGAGCGGTCGACTTTTGTAAGAGCCCGATACGATACGACTCATTTCGTTACTGTTTAGTTTTAATTTGGGTTCAGCGAATGGCGAGGTTGAGGGGCCGATTCCTCTGGTGATGGTGGCGGCCCGTGGTCGATCGGAGGGAGGTTGGGGTTGGGGGGGGGGGTTTAAAGATCGCGCGAGGTGGAGAGACATTCACCCCTCTCCATTATCGATGGCGTTGTTCGCGGAGGAAATTATTCGGGGGTGGATTTTCCCCCCCTTTGTTCGAAACGCACGTGCCCACGCAACGCGCTCGTAGAACTGAAACCCAGTGGTGCGGTTGTGGGTAAAAGCGGTCATCGACGGCGGCGATGGTTTGAATTACATGCAAACAATAATAATTGCTTTTTAAAAGATGGAATTCGCGTGACGCTTAAGTTAATTGTGGCTACGTTGATGATTATGGTGGCGATGTTGAGAGAGAGGAGATGACTGCAGAGGGGACTTGGAGACTATCTGAGATATTCGACCTCGTGGTGTTGAATCATTTTACTGTTTTTAGTGCTGTGTGCAAACTTTCAACAAGAGTAATTAAACTTGGAAAGATGTGTACCGGAGTGCCTTTGTCGGTTCCTGCCGCCGCACGCACTCACTCATCCAGTTACTCACCCAGTCACTCACTCATCCAGTCACTCACTCATCCAGTCACTCACCAAGACACTCACCCGCTCACTCACTCACCCACCCATTCGCTCACTCATCCAGTCACTCACTCATCCAGTCACTCACTCACTCAGTCACTTAGTCACTCACTCTCCCAGTGACACACTCATCCCGTTACTCCCTGACCCAGTCACCCATTTACTTACCTACTCACACACTCCCTCACCCAGTCACTCATCTACTCACACACTAACTCACCCACTCACTCACTCACACACTAACTCACCCACTCACTCACTTACTCACCCAGCTACTCATCCAGTCAATCACTCACCCAGTAATCCACTCACTCCCACAGTCATCCACTCACACACCCTAGTCATCTACTCACCCACTCACTCAACCAGTCAATCACTTACCCAATGATCCACTCATCCAGTCACTCGCCCAGTCATTCACCCAGTCATCAACTCACACACGCGTCCAGTCAACCATCCAAGCGACTCACTCGCCCATCCAACTACTCGACTGCGCTACTTGCCACTGTGTCCCGCGAACTTCACATTGATCCAACCGTGCTCAGAAGCCGCTGGAGACCGTGGGGATTCCGAAACGTTCCCCAACTTACATTCCCCCCATTGAGTAAGCGGATCATTTCCAGAGACACGTGGCCAGTAAACCGGGTAATCTTCTCTCACATTGTGGAGGTCACCATTAGCAACAAAGGAGCGTGAGAGTGTGTGTGTCGTCTGTGTGTGTGTGTCTGTGTGTGTGCCTGTGTGTCTGCATCTACCGGTAATTTCAGTCAGGCAACCCATGTCACCACCTGGGTCTGTCCCGTGACCTCCTGCTAGCAGCGAGAGCCTTCGACACGTCACGTGGCAGCCTCAAAGTGCACCTGTGTAAACATCGCCGCTAGGGAGACAAAGGCGGCCGGGCTTGGTGTTGGCCCAACCAACCCCCTCGTGTGCCGTGCTGGCCTTTATAGGTGCTCGCTAAGAGCACTTGCCCCTACAGTCTGTTAAGGCTATACGGGGGATCTTTGTCTTTGTGTGTGTGTCTGCATCTACCGGTCATCTCAGTCAGCCAACCCATGCCATCTGGGTCTGTCCCGTGACCTCCTCCTGTCAGCAGCGAGAGCCTTTGACACTTCACGTGGCAGCCTCAAAGTGCACGTGGCCTGGCACAGGCGCCGTGGTGACGTCACCGCCACTTGGTGGCGAATGGCGGAGATTGGTGGTGGTGCTTGTGGTGGTGGTGCTGGTGGTGCTTGTGGTGCTGGTGGTGGTGGTGCTGGTGGTGGTGGTGCTTGTGGTGGTGGTGCTGGTGGTGGTTGTGGTGCTTGTGGTGGTGGTGGTTGTGGTGCTGGTGGTGCTTGTGGTGGTGGTGCTTGTGTTGCTTGTTGTGGTGGTGGTGCTGGTGGTGGTGCTGGTGGTGGTGCTGGTGGTGCTTGTGGTGCTGGTGGTGCTTGTGGTGGTGGTGGTGCTGGTGGTGGTGGTGGTGCTAATGGTGATGGTGCTGGTGGTGGTGCTGGTGGTACTTGTGGTGCTTGTGGTGCTGGTGGTGCTTGTGGTGGTGGTGGTGGTGCTGGTGGTGCTGGTGGTGGTGGTGGTGCTGGTGGTGGTGCTGGTGGTGCTTGTGGTGCTGGTGGTGGTGGTGCTGGTGGTGGTGCTGGTGGTGTTTGTGGTGCTGGTGGTGGTGCTGCTGGTGGTGGTGCTGGTGGTGGTGGTGGTGCTGGTGGTGGTGCTTGTGGTGGTGCTTGTAGTGGTGCTGGTGGTGGTAGCTGGGAGCGGTAGTGTAGCTGTTCGCGCTACGCTGCACTATGAACCCGGCGACCCGAATTCGTCGATTCCCACTCTCACGGGCCAGCAACCGGTGACGATTATCTGAACCGGTTCTGGGCCTCTCCTAGGTTGACTCAGCCTCAAATGAGTGCCTGTGGCACGTTGTGTAAAAGCATTGCCACTATAGGGAGACAAAGGCGGCCGGACTCGTGTGGCATGCTGGCCTGCAAAAGTTGCTACTTGCTAACAGCACTTGCCCTAACAGTCTGCTCAGTCCATGCTGGGGGAACTTTGTCTTTGTGTGTTTGTAGCGGTTGGGGAGCGGTGGCGCAGCGGTTAGCACTACAAACCCGGGGGGTTTGGAGGTTCCATTTCCGCGTATGACCCGAAAGGGTCCAACGCGAAACGTCCGTTTACACGGTGGCCCCCTAATTAACATTCCTGGCGACATTAAACACGAGCGGCTTTCAGTTAATTAACAGCGGCTTAACACAAAGACAAAGATCCCCCGTATAGCCTGTGACATAGTGTTGGGGCAAGGGGCCGTCCATAAATGATGTCACGCACCTGGGGGCGGGGGGTCAGACATTTGTGACGAAGGGGGGGGGGGGGGGTTTGAGAAACGTGACGTCATCATAAAAATGTGCAACTTTAAATAAATAAAGACAACACGTTCTACTTATATAGATAGACTTTTGAAATAAATGTTTTCTCCTACAACATCAGAGTGCAGCGCCACATTAAATAACGCACTACAATGAGGATAGTTTAAAGCGAATTGAAGCATACATTTCGATTTAAAGCTTTCGTGACTGCAGGGATTCATATTCTTGGTTCTTTCGGTAAAGTCACCAGGTAGAAGGGAAATAATCCCCTAGGGGAGGCCCAAGACCAGTTCAGATGATAGCCACTGGTGTTGATGGCCGTGAGCCAGAGTTGCAGCATAGCGCTAACCACTGCGCTGCCACTCCCCTACGTCCCACAGCGTTACACACAACATTGGACATTCCCGGCATTCCCAACCCCCTACACACACGGCCTTCAATCTCTAGGCACCTCCTGAGTTGGCCGGGATTGGTGGCTGAGGAATGAGGTGGCGGGGATGAGGGGGAAGGGGAGGGAATGGGAGACGGAATCGGTGGGGATGTTGGAGGAATGACTGGCGAGAGAGAGAGTTGTGGATGAAGGACAGCTGTGGGCGAAGGAGGGAGAGCTGTGGGTGAAGGAGAGCTGTGGGTGAAGGAGGGAGAGCTGTGGGTGAAGGAAAGAGAGAGCTGTGGATCAAGGAAAGAGAGCTGTCGATGAAGGAGGGAGAGATGTGGATGAAGAAGTGAGAGCTGTGGATGAAGAAGTGAGAGCTGTGGATGAAGGAAGGAGAGAGAGAGAGCTGTGGATGAAGAAGAGCTGTGGGTGAAGGAGGGAGAGCTGTGGATAAAGGAGAGCTCTGGGTGAAGGAAGGAGAGCTGTGAGTGAAGGAGAGCTGTGGGTGAAGGAGGGAGAGCTGTGGGTGAAGGAAAGAGAGCTGTGGGTGAAGGAGAACTGTGGATAAAGAAGTGAGAGCTGTGGATGAAGGAGGGAGAGCTGTGAATGAAGGAGAGCTGTGGGTGAAGGAAAGAGAGCTGTGGGTGAAGGAAAGCTGTGGATGAAGAAGTGAGAGCTGTGGATGAAGAAGTGAGAGGTGTGGGTGAAGGAGGGCGAGCTGTGGATGAAGGAGAGCTGTGGGTAAAGGAGGGAGAGCTGTGGGTGAAGGAGGGAGAGTTGTGGGTGAAGGAAAGAGAGAGTTGTGGGCGAAGGAGAGCTGTGGGTGAAGGAGCGAGAGCTGTGGGTGAAGGAGGGAGAGTTGTGGGTGAAGGAAAGAGAGAGTTGTGGGCGAAGGAGAGCTGTGGGTGAAGAAGTGAGAGCTGTGGATGAAGGAGAGGGAGCTGTGGATGAAGGAAGGAGACCTGTGGATG